ATTTATTCCTCCAGGAGATACTATCGCTCAAATTTGACCAAACTGCACACACTTCATCAGTTGCGAGAGTTTGGTCTCGAATTGGATTGCCATGATGTGCTTTTTTTTTTGTTTCCAAAAACAAGTTGGTTCTTAAATGGTAGTGTTTGTGTAACATGAAAGCCATCAAAATAAAAACAATTAGGCAACTGATAAACATCATAACACAGGACTTTAAAGGAGCCTTCCAGCAGAGGAAACGGAGATGGCACAGGCATATTGTGTATCAGGGAGAGTATTTTGAAGAGAACAATATGGAATAATCATATTGAAGTTATTTTTTTTTTCTATTTTTGTAAAAAATTTCCAAACAAATGTCGATAGAAGAGCTACTAGAATGAAGGAAATTCAATAAGATCAAGTAAAACGGTGAGATGCTTGCTAAGCTTTTGATATTATAAATTTATATTATATCATTCATCATCAAATGATAGTACTATTCCATACTGCAAACTTCACTAGGGATTTTAAAATATCTTCCTACTCTCAATGCCACTGAATGCATCAATTGTTTATTTTTTTATTCTTAAACAAATAAATTCATTACCGCGTATGGGGAGCGTCCCACGGGTGGCGGATGTGGGGATGGTCGGTGGAAATTCCTTGGAAGTTCCTCCCGGCTAAGTCCGATGGACTCGCTGACCAACAATGAGAGGGGCCCTCCAGACTTGCTGGAGGGAGGGGACCTCCAGACTTGCTGGAGGTAGGGGCCCACCAGACTTGCTGGAGGGTGTGACGTAGGATTGAACGCCCTACTCACATATCTTTAGTTCACCAAACACCACAAAAAGTCATGGATCTCCCTAAGGTAAAACGCTCATTATCCGGAGGTAAACTAGTCCCCCGTTCGGGTCTCCGGGTGGGGACTGCTTTAGGGGATTCATGGTGCAAGTTGAAATATAGGGATTTAAATATTGGTACGTGGAACGTAAGGAGTTTAAACACAGCAGGGGGGCTAAAATCGGTCGCGAATGAGGTAAATGGGTACAATTTGGATGTCGTGGCTCTGCAAGAGGTTCGCTGGCCAGGGGAGGGCTCGATGAGGGAAGGAAAGTACACTATTTGGTACGGAGGAAGCGGGAATCATTGTTTAGGTACCGGGTTTCTAATTAGGAGTAGATTACTATCCGCTTTGAGCGACGTACAATTCTTTAGTGATAGAATTTCGGTAGCTATATTTCAGGGACGTTGGTTTAAAATCGCATTAATAAACATACATTGTCCGACCGAAGACAGTGACGATGAAGTCAAAAGTGAATTTTACGATAAACTCGAATGGGTTTATGATAAACTACCGCGAAACTACATGAAAATAATTGTAGGTGACGCGAACGCAAAGGTAGGAAGGGAAGAAGTTTATATTCCGACGATTGGTAAAGAAAGTTTGCACGAATATAGTAATGATAATGGGATCCGTCTGATAAACTTTGCCATCTCGAAAAACCTGATAATTAAAAGTACGACGTTTAAACATAAGGATATTCATAAATATACTTGGACATCACCGGATTCGCAAACACGAAATCAAATAGATCATGTCTTGATACAACACAGCTGGCAAAGCAGTATAATCAATGTACGGTCTTATCGCGGAGCAGAATGTGGGTCGGATCATGAATTAGTAATCGCGAAACTTCGACAAAAACTTAATATAAAAAAGAGAAAAGAAAACCGTTTCGATTTTGAGAATTTTAATTTGGAAAAATTAAAAAATCCATCAATTAGAAACCAATTCGAGCTAGATGTTAAGAATAGGTTTGAAGCTTTAGAGCTTCCTGACGAGGACCACGAGGATATTGACAAGTTATGGGTAGAGATCAGGGATAATATAAAAGCGGGCGGTAACTCGTGCCTAGGAAAAAAGGAAACTAAGAATAACAAACCGTGGTTTGATGAAGATTGCTTAAACATGTGCGAAAAAAGAAAAGCCGCTAAATTAAAAGCTCTAAATAATCCTAGCGAAGACAATCTGGAATACTTCCGAATCTCAAAGAACGAAACGACAAAATTGCTCAAAAATAAAAAAAGGGAGTATCTTAAAAATAAAATAATTGAAATAGAAACTAATAGAATCGAAAATAACGTAAGAGACATGTACAAAGGTATAAACAGATCACGTAAATATGTAGGGCCCGTAACGTCTGGAATTAGGGATGATAATAACAATATTCTGACCGATCCGGTTGACATATTGAATAAGTTTAAGGACCACTTTGACAATATTTTAAATACGGGAAATTATGATCTGTGTCCTCCTTCTGAGTACCAGAGTGCTGAACCGTTAATAGAAGGACCAAGTAAAGAGGAAGTTGAAGTAGCTATCGGAAAATTAAAATCATATAAAGCAGCGGGAATCGATAATATTCCTACTGAACTAATTAAGGCATGCGGGGAAGCTGGAGTTTCTAAAATACATCGGTTGGTTAAAAAGATCTGGGTGAACGAGAAATTACCTGAAGAATGGAAAGAATCTATTCTTATTCCGATTCACAAAAAGGGTCCGAGGACGGATTGTAATAACTATCGAGGAATTTCACTCCTTCCGGTATGTTATAAAATATTCACTTCAATCTTAACCAGTCGAATTACGGAATACGCCGAGGAAATTATCGGAGACTACCAATGCGGATTTAGACGGAATCGTTCGACTATTGATCAAATATTTTCTTTACGGCAAATATTAGAGAAAAAATTGGAGTACAAAGGTATTGTTCACCAGCTGTATATAGATTTTAAAAAGGCTTACGATTCTATTGACCGCCAGAAACTGTATAATATTCTAATTGAGCAGGGGATTCCAAAAAAACTAGTAAATCTAGTCAGGATGTGCTTGACGGAGACACTCAATAAAGTTAGAATCGGTAATAATTTGTCCGAAAAATTTGAGGTTCGTTCGGGCTTAAAACAGGGGGATTCACTTTCGCCTGTCCTGTTCAATTTGGCATTAGAACATGCCATTAGGGAGGTAATGCGAACCGAGAAAGGGTTGGATCTGGGCGGGACAACATCCGTGCTGGGCTATGCTGATGATCTGGTACTGTTAAGCGAAGACGTTGAAACTATAAAACTAAATACGACAACGTTAATGAAAGCCGGGAAAGAACTAGGACTCGAAATAAACGTGGATAAAACAAAATATATGGTTAGCTGCAAAAATGGCGATACTACTGGTGACATCGATATAGATGGTAATATGTTTGAACAGGTAGATAAGTTTAGGTATCTAGGTTCAACGATAACTAGAAAAAACGAAATTGAAGAAGAGATTAAAGTTAGACTGAAGGCGGGAAATGCTTGTTATTTTTCTGTGACAAAACTACTTAGTTCGCGCCTCTTGTCCCGGAACTTAAAAATTAGAATCTATAAAACAATTATCTTGCCTACAGTTCTTTATGGATGCGAAACTTGGCCACTTACATTAAGGGATGAGCAGCGTCTTAAGGTTTTTGAAAATAAAGTATTGCGTAGAATATTCGGACCGAAGAAGGATGAGTTAACCGGAGCGTTCAGACGGCTACACAACGCCGAATTGCGTGAGCTGTATCCGGGTAATATAATTGATGTAATTTCATCGCGGCGAATCAAATGGGCTTGTAAAGTTGTTGGGCTTAGTAACGAGAGAATTCCTAAAAGGTTAATATTTGCTGTGCCGAATGGTAAGCGTCCGAGGGGTAGACCGAAGCGAAGGTGGGAAGATTTCATTAAAGCCGATCTGAAGGGACTGGGTTTGGACGGCGAACGGTGGAGGGAGGTGTGTAATAAGCGATTGGTGGTGTCGGCATCGAACCATCGGGTTCGCTAAGCCTTATTATTATTATTATTATTATTAAACAAATAAATTTGTACCTATATTACAATAAGATAATGATGTGTTTAGATATTATGCATTATTTAAATATTCTGACATTTTATATTGTCAGATTCGTCTTTCCTTTGTTAGCAGAAATAGCACAATTTATTTTAAAGAAGAACTCGATGCATTTTTTATTATTTTATTTCTCAAAAGTGTATAATTATAATTTTTCCTACTGTACATAGTTTTAAGTGTCTTATCATAGTTTTAAGTATTTTGCATACAGATTTTTTTTTCTTTTTTGTATATAGCTTGTTTAACTAATATTTTCTTTACTTTCACTTTTTTTATTATTGTTTTCTTTTGGCCAGATGTAGTCTTTTAATTATGTACTATTTTGTTATTCTAGAGGGACTTTGTCCCAGAATAAAGTTATTTTCTATTTCTAAAACATGAATGCATTCTAGTAATTTTATCTATATTTTCTGAAATTTGATTACTTGCGGTATTAGTCATTTTAATTAATTATAAAAAAGAATTTTAATTTTTATAGCATTAAATTAAATAATATAACGGATTATACTTAAAAAATTATAAAAATGGTGAGTGAACAAAAAGTCTAGATCTACACTGTGATAACAAAGCTTCTGGAACAATCTGCGGCTTGGTCACCGACATTATACAGGAAGAGGTTTCATGGACAAATCGGCTTAAATGAGTTGATTAGTAAGTTCCTTATAACGGAAAAAAAAATTAGTTAATACTGAAAAGGGTTATTGGTGATCAAATGGTTTATCTATAGATAGTTATCTGCAAATTCTCAAGGTAAAGATCACATAGTTTAGAAACAATTTTTTCACACATATTGTGAAATTAACAGGTGTATTGTGTTTGTGTGAACCAACAGGCCTTTAGTAAGAATTGTAAATAATATTAATTACATATTAAAAAAATGTTAAATTTATTGTTGGTATTATTTATCAAAATTGGATAAAAAAACATAAATATTTTCATAGATTGGTAATTTCACATTAACAAAGATGTATTTTGGTCAAAGTTGTACTAAATTTCTGTTCTGATTTTATACCAGAATAATAAAAATCAAAATAAATCATAGTAAATGCGAAATTATTTAATCAACACATATATTATTTTATAAATCATTTACCTGGACTTGATCGTACGTTAATTGACCACAGGAATGGATAACAGATCGCTTGAACTGTGTATCCAAAACAACACCTGAAATGATAAGTAAGAGATTTAGAATTCAATTTCTAACAAATTTTTTTAAACTATTAATGTTAATTTTTAAGTAAAATATATGCTGAACAGCATTAGTAAATAGATAATAAAGACTAGTATGTTTTTTCTTCCTAATACATTTGAATTATAAGTGATATTGGAGTAGCAGTTTTATTTCTATAAAAGATATAATATCAAGAAATTAAAGTCTGTTCACCTCGTGCGGACTCATTACCTATCATGCAGGGGAGCACCCCACGGATGGCTGATGGTCGGTGGAAATTCCTCGACTAAGTCTGATGGACTCACTGACCACCAATGGGAAGGGACGCTCTAATTGCATATCTATAATTCACAAAGTAATAGTCATGGATCTTCCTAAGGTAATGGTGAGTAAACTGGAGAATTCAGGCAGTAAAAGAATACTAAATAGCGTGAATTGTACCCATTGAATATAATAAAAATTATTACATTGAGGCAAATAAAATGGGCATATAAAATCACTGAAATTAGTAACGAAAGAATTCCTAAATAGTTAATATGTGCTCTGCCAAATGGTAAGCAGCCGAGAGGTAGACCGAAGCGAAGGTGGGAAGATTGCGTTAAGGCTGATCTGGCGGAACTGGGTTTAGACGGCGCCCAGTGGATGAAAGAATGTAGACATCGATTGGTGGCATCAGCATCGAACCTTCGGGTTAGCTAAATCTTCTTCTTCTTCTTATTATTATTATTATCGAATTTCAAACTTTCTTGACTTTTGCCAGAAATATTCACCTACCCAGACCAAGGTCAAGCGTTAGGCTCAAAAGTTAAACTATGTTTAAGAACTTTCTGACGATGTTCGCTGTGCCTAGGAGAACTGCTTTTTGCCCTTCTTCCAACACTTTCTCTGGCGGTTTCAAATTTTCAATATCACAATCATTTAATTTTGAAAATGATTAAAATATAATAACATAAAAAGAAAAAGTTACCCTCTTTAGAGACAGTCATAATGACAGATATAGTCAATTTATCTTGACCGGAGCTCAAAGAACAGAGCTCACAGAGCGTAAGCGGCAGCATATGAAACACTTCCTCCACCATATAGATTGTCGTTGCTCTAAAAAATAATAGTACACATTATTTTATAATATAATACATTATTTAAATTATTCAAACATATACAAACAAAAAATAATTTATTGAACCATAAATCAAAAAGTATACAGCCTTAAAGTGGACACCACTCATATTAATGTTTAAGGTTTCTGAGTTCCCTAAAAAATGTAAAAAAAAAAATCTTTAAAATTTCCACAGAGCCTATTGAAACTGTTAACACCACAGCGTTAATTTATTTTATTTTTACAGTTAAAAACGCCACAGCGTTAATTCATTTTATTTTACACTTAACTAGTTTGATTAATTGTTGATTTGTTTTATTTTAGCAAAGTGAAATCAATTAATAATATGTATATTTATGTATAAGATATGTGTATATTAAGTATTATAGGCCCATAGCTTATGTTGTTTATATTAAATAGATTAATAGTTTATACTTGGACTACTTTGTTATGGATTGTAGCACTAGCTATAAACAAGTGCTAGGTTCAAGTCATAAGGCGGTAGAATTGACAAGGGACGGTCTGACTTCTACCTTCAACACTGCCCACTGCAGTTCTACTCTGAAGAGACGTACTTCTCTCGTCGTGCTCGCCGCTGCCCATTTGCAGTTCGTTTTGAGCAATCTCATTGAAGAGTTACAATTGGTTTCTACATAGAGACAGAGGTTTACGAACGTCCTGCTCGTCCAAGTAACGTTGTACAATCTAATTATTTGTTATATATATAAATTTCATATTGGGACTCTAGAGTTGTTGTTTTTTTTTTATTGTAATTTGGGCCATAGAAATAGTTTTTTCTTTTACGATCAAGCATGAAAATATCTCATTAATATTGTCACAATTGTTTGTTCAGCTGGTCTTTATTTTATACTAGAAGTTTGTTATTTTTTTTTACCTATCTGACAAGTGTAAAATTGATTCATTTTGTTTTTATGTTTTCAATATTAGATTTCGTAAATGTTCCAAAATAAATGTTTGAAGATACAGTCCACTTTCATTCTTTTTTTTTCTTTTATTAAATCATAATTAAATAGTTAGGCTTCATTCGAAGTTTGACATAAACTAAGAGGGAGCTAACAGAAACTCTAACTCATGTTTTGGTTTATCATTTTGAATAATAAATCATTATTAGAAGAAGTTAGTCCGGGTTGTGGTAAAAAAATACTATATTATATAATAGTATATTTTATTACAGTTATACAACGTTTTGGCCAACCTTGTAGGTCTTCTTCAATAGATGACTTTTGATATTCAGTTCAATTTGTAAACGTGATAAATTATAAGGATATCAGGAATATATTAAGGGTAATAGGTAATATACTCCTGATATCCTTATAATCCATTACCTTTCCAAATTGAACCGAATGTCAACAGTCATCTACATATACTGTAACTTTCTATAATTAATATAAATTGAATATTTAATAGTTGACCGTTGCATTATAAAGGAAGGATATGGTCCAGGGTGGCAGTCATAAATAGGCTAAATAGTGGTAAAACTATTTTATTGAAAGCCGCCGTTTCGACCCGACTTTGCAGATCTTCTTCAGGGCTAGAACGGACAAGATACAAAAAGATAGAGAATTGTGGCAGTTACATAATATTAGGTAGAATATTATGTAACTGCCACAATTCTCTATCTTTTTGTATCTTGTCCATTCTAGCCCTGAAGAAGATCTGCAAAGTCGGGTCAAAACGTTGGCTTTCAATAAAATAGTTTTACCACTATTTAGCCTATTTATGACCGCAACCCTGGACCATCTCCTTCCTTTATTAATATATATTGTTTATATACAGGGTGTTTCATGATTGCACAGCACTATTTTAGGTATGTGTTCACTAACACAAAATAAACAAAAAAGTTCATATTAACATATATCTCAAACTCATTTATTAAACAGATATCAAAGGTTAAAGATTTATTATTTATTATTATTACAACATTTAGAGTAACTGTTCAAAGGGACCTCTGTTTTGTTGAATGCAACATTCAGCACGATGAATACATGCTTCTCTGGCTCTTCGCATAGACTTCATCCAACCCCATACAAAATAATCTAATAGCGTTAAATCTGGAGATCGTGGTAGTCATATAACAGGTATGTTTCGAACAACCCATCGGTCTCCATAAGTTGCATTTAAATAATCAGTAACACTATTACAAAAGTAAGCTGGAGCACCGTCATGCATAAACCACAGCCTTTGCCTAATGCCTAGCAGAATATCTTCTAGGAGCTCATGAAGATTATTTTGCAAAAAATGCAAGTAAGATATACCTGACAGCCTAGGTGGCAACAAGAAGGGGACAATGATGTTGTTGCTTAGAAGACCACACCAAGATAAGGTATGTTGGTCATGTCCAACAGCAGTCGTTTGAGGGTTTTCTTCAGCCCAAGTATGGGTATTTTGAAAATTAAGAATCCCTTTTCTTGTAAAGCAAGATTCATCAGTAACCAAAATGCAGTTCTGCAAGTTCAGGAAGTTAGGATCTTGTGTGCTTTCTTGAATTAACCACTGGGAGAATTTTCTGTGCTTGTTATAATCTTGTGATAAGAAATCTTGCCTACTCGATACCTGAAATGGATATAATTGTTGTTCGCCAAAGTTCCCCATACCCTGGTAGAGGAAACATCCAAATGACGTGACAATCTTCTGGTACCAGTAGTAGGAGATAATTGAACAGCATCAAGTATTTATTCTTCAACGTTTGCAGTTCGTCCAAATCTTAGTCAACTGGTGTTTACTAGTATAGATTTTAGCGTGCCACTATCCCTAAGTAGTCTTTCAATGGCCTTAAACGTTTTACGATTGGGTATTCTTTGGTTAAGAAATTTTTCATGATATCTTCGAACAGCAGCAGCACCATTTCTATGTACCTCACCATAAGTTAAAAGCATGTGTGTTTGTTCTGTAAAAGTGAATAAATTTATGGTGTCTCTCATGATAATCATAAATTGAACTGTGTCACAGTATTCACTCACACTAAAACACACAGAACTAGACAAATAGATGGGCAACTACTGCCATTGCTTATCATTCATTTGTTTATTAGGTGATTAAAACCTGTTATTTAGTATTAAACACGTTAAACTTTGTATAGTCAGTCTTAATGTAGTAAATAAATAATAAATCTTTAACCTTTGATATCTGTTTAATAAATGAGTTCTAGATATATGTTAATATGAACTTTTTTGTTTATTTTGTGTTAATGAACACATACCTAAAATAGTGCCGTGCAACAATGAAACACCCTGTATAATTAAATAACTAATATATATTGTTTGTATCGTATATAGCCCTGAAGAAGATCTATAACATAGGTCGAAACGTTAGACAATGTAATAAAATATAATATAATCTTTTTTTACTGCACCCCCGATACCATTAATAAATCATTATAATTAGAGACCGGATTCCTATGTTATTACATAATTTATTCGCTTGAATGTAAAAATGATTAAACCTGATCACGTATCTGTTTCATTAAAAATTTCTTAATAATGCTGTAGTAGACATCCCCCTGTATTTACTCCTTTATGTGACATTGTGTGAGAGAATGAAAAGGAATATATAGGAATGTGAGGTTGCACGATGAATTGTACTCAATTATGCAGTGGACAAATTATTCATTGAAAAGTCTCATATCGATAAAGAAGGAAGAAGGAAAAGGAAGGATCAGATACCAACAGCTGCAGAAGGACGCTGAAGAAGCGGGGAGAAGCACTGGAGGCTGAGACACGGAGACAAGAGGACGTTACCTGAGATGAGAGAGGCAGGACATTGAAGACCAAGAATATCAAGGCTACAGTTATAAGACTTTTATACATTAATTTATTACAGTTGTAAAATAAATTGTTTTATTATACAGGAGTGAAAAGTCATTTATTTATTTAGTAGTCCTATATGCCTCATGATTGAAGAATAATAAACCAGGTGAGTCAATACATTCAAAGTGTGTTTACTATTCAAAGTGTGTTTACTAAGTCCCACATTTCAGATATATATATTCTTATTGTTTCTTCTCACTCAGTGTCACAAAAGGTATTAGATTCCCGAATTCCCAACGACAGTTAAACACTCTCAAAAAGTCTATATCCAGAGCCAGGATTTTGTTGTAAGAAATTTAAATCACGAGTGTATATAACCTAGGCTTCAGATAAACGGAAGGCTATTCGCAATTGCTCGTCAAAAAGAATATTAACAATTAACTCTTAAGAGGAATCTTTACAATATATTGTTTGTATCTTATATAGCCCTAAAGAAGATCTGTAACATAGGTTGAAATATTGGACAATGTAATAAAATATAATATAGTATTTTTTTACTGCACTCCCGATACTATTAATAAATCATTATAATTAGAGACCGGATTCCTATGTTATTACACAATTTATTCGCTTGAATGTAAAAATGATTAAACCTGATCACGTATCTGTAAATAACCTACTGAAAGTTAAATGTAAAATAAAGATGTTTTGGCGGGAATAGCGAATAGCCTTCCGCTTTTATATCGGGGATTAAGGTAATTTACACTCGTGAATAATTAAAACAAAACCCCGGCACTGGATATAGACTTTTTGAGGGTGTTTAACTGTTGTTGGGAATTCGGGAATCTAATACCTTTTGTGACACTGCATGAGAAGAAACAATAAGAATATATATATGAAATGTGGGACTTAGTAAATACACTTTGAATGAATTGACTCACCCGGTTTGTTATTCTTCAGTTGAGAGGAATATATGACAACTAAATAAAATGACTATTCACTCCTGTCTAACAAAACAAATTTATTTTAACAACTGATGATGAATATATATAAGTGAACGGTCGGCTTGATATTCTTGGTCTTCAATGTAGTAAGCCTCTCTTCCCAGATGACGTCTTCTCATGTTCCTGTCCAGGCCTCAAGTATCTGGCGTCCTCTTCCAGCTTCTGCTACCTGATCGGACCTTTTTTCTTCTTTTCGATTGTTTATCGATATGAGATTTTCCCGTGAGC